GATAGTTCTCCCACCATCTGTTTCATACGGTGTGACCTCCCAATTTCGCTCATTCTTATTTGTTATAGTTCCACCTTGGTCAGTAATTAGTGAAATTAGCTTGAATTTGAGGTTTTGATATGAAACTGTTTACTTATTCTTTAACGTTCATTACTCACCATTCTATGTTCCAAGCTTGAGCTTGTTGCACTGGTGGTGAGCCATGTTGAAGCAACACTAGCCAACATCGTGATGAACATGAATATCACATGAACTCGGCCAAGCCAAGTACAAACAGACCTAAGCTCAGCCAGCTCATCTCACCTAGGCTCCACTCATTTCCGACAGGGTAATAACTATGTTCCACATAAACTAATGCAAACTCAGATTCACATCCCCTGAGTTACATAAATCAGGAAGACTAAAAAACATCATGCAAAATTATAGTAATCAAGCAATGAACTAAATAGAAATTCACATGGCCATTTAGTAAATTTCATACCGAATCAGGCAAAATATGCATGTGCATCTTCTTCTTAGCAAGACTTAAAAATTCAAATGAGCATTCTAGCACACAATACTTTCAAACAGTGGGCAAAAAAGGTGAAGTGAGAACGTGTGTTCAAATCTGAACAAAGCCACTTATGCAAACATGCCAAATCTTACATGTGTCAAGTCTGCCCCTCCCAGAACCCTTCCTACATGGAATGGAGAATGGGATTTTTTCCTCACTGACCATGCTTATATCAAACCATGACAATTTAGATGGGCATTCCTTAATTAAAAGAAATCATCCTCCAATTTACACAGTTTCATGCAACAAATCAAGAGACCAAACTGATAATTGTCAAATATACTTCAGAATCAAATGGGCATTCACTAAATCAAACAGAATTGTACATTTCCAAAATAAAAAGAAACAGAAACTTACCATCCCTCTGAGCTCCTTTGGCACCTTTTCAATATTTTCCACATTCCCCAACACATTCGCCATGGAAGCAAACAAAGGCTCGGTGACCATTGCCATGGCATTCTTGTTCTCATCCAAAGCCTGCACCACGTGCACCACCCCCGGGTGCCTCAGCCTCACCAGACGAGCAGCATCGGCCCGAACTATCTCCAAGAACGATTCCTCAACCGATTTGGACAGCCCAGCCCGATTGCGAGCTTCGGATAGAGCCCGTTTGTCGAGGACCCAGACGCAGACAGTGGGGTACTGCTGGGATGTCACGTAACGGTCACGTGACCTGCCAGAGTAGAGCTTCCAACATAGTCCGGGCCCGGCGGAGCCGATCTGGGTTAGGAGGTCGTAGTCTTGTAAGGGTTTGGGTCCGGTGACTTCTTGTACGGTGGTGGTTACGGTTTTCTCGATTACTGCTGCTGTCTTGGCTAGGGCTTGGGTCAGGGTTTTCATGTTCAGGGACATGGCTGAAAATTTGGACTTTGATTAGGAGTAGATGTACTGGTTATTGTTGTGGCTGTGGTTGTGGTGGTGATAATGTAATTGAAATTTGATGCTTAGATCCCACCTCTCTCTCCCCCTAATTTCTCTCTATATGCCTATGATAGTATGACCTCTCTCTCTCTCTGTCGGAATTGATTTAATTTGAAATCGATGACTATTTCAGAATATGATTAGGCGTATAAATGGGAGGAGATGAATTTATGGTGGTGGTGGTGGTGGTGGTGCAATTCAATTTTGATGATCAGATCCCACCTCTCTCTCTGCCAACTTTTTCTCCCTAAAAAGTCTATGATTCTTCCGTCTTCTCTTCCTCTCTGTCGAAATTGATTCCACTTGAAATCGATGACACCTAGGCTTTGTCTCGATCCGAGGTTATTTAGTACATTAGGAATCTAATATAAAAACTTTAATCTTTGAATATATAAAATAAAAAATTTAAATTTTTTTAAAATGCAAAATACCAAAAACCTTTTATTTTTTACAAGCATCCTTATACCTTTGTAGATAAAGAATTATTGAAAGTTGTTTGATAGTAACAATATTTTTTTAAATAAATCTAACTAAATAATACATAGTGTAAGCGGTAAAAAAATTACCCCTTACAAAATGATGCAAAATAATTTTGAGTATGGTTGTATATTGCGCAATTTTTTCTGCAAAATGAACACACTGCCTAGAATCAGAGTGAACCGATTAAAGGCACTCTGATACTTAAGTCAGTAGTAGATAGAGACAAAAGAACTTGTAAGGAAAACTGTGCTTACCTTTCATGATTCTCCTTGGTCTTTTTTTATAGATTCATCGGCTTTTCCCTCTTAGAGATTGGATTCTTTTAGTTTACAAGGTGAGGTGGTACACCCCAATCATGTCGGACTCTCGGTTACATTCTATCAAAATTTCTTTTACGTTCGACAATCAACTAATTCTTTGGGATTTACTGATTATGATTTGCCATGACTTTAGCAACTTTCTTATCCTATCCAATCTATTTTCTGAATGATTCATAGTTTACTTTAACTTGAACCGAATTGTTTAACAATATTACTTGACCTAATTAATCGAGCAAACCTTCGCATGGTCGAGTTATTCTATCAAGTTTGGCCTAATCGATCGTGCATGTCTAGTAAACCGAGCATGCCTAATAGATGGTACTTTATTCTAAACCCGACCTCAGCTAGCTCGGTCCTATCTTGAACTGTCAACATCTTTAATGCGAGTGTGTCTTAATCACGTGCATATAAGAATTTTAGTTTAACATAATATTAAAGTCTTACTCAAGTAAGAATTGTAGTTTAGCATAATATTTCGTTGAATAATCTCACTATCTTTGTTTTTGTTAGCACTTGTTGAATAATATGGTTAGCATTTTCCCTTAAATTTTAAATGAAAATCATGCAGGTGTATGAATTTTGAAAAATGATTTTAGGCCATTAGTGATTGTATTTTGACCCTTAACCATTTCTTTTGCAAAACTATGTCCCTTGTAAGCCATGATTGAGGCTAAAAGTATAATTTTTTTTCTTAAACCCATGCATTAACCGAGCCAAAGAAAATATATTTGTCCAACCTTTGGTGTTTAATTTTCTTACACCCTCTCCTAAAAAGAAGACGTTAAACAGGAAATGAGAAAAATGGAGAATACTGTTGGAAAAGAAAAAGAAACGAAAAAAGAAAAGAATTTGTGAAAGAAAGAAAAGAGAATAGCAAAAGAAAAATAAAGGAAGCAAAAAAAGAAAATAGCCAAGAAATTGCAAATATGGAACTGAAAAAGAAGAAATTGTGATGTGTGCTACACAAATTGAAAAGGATAGCTTTTTGAATACATTTGACGTCGTTTCTTTAAACCTAATACCCTTTAGTCACGTTATAACCCTAATGAAGTCCTTTTTTATTCCAAAAATCAAGCACATGTATTATTTTCATCTATTCATTAAAAGGGGAGAGTGTTGATAATGTTGTTTAATATAGTGTTAATATTTTTTCACGAGATTATGTCAAATTCTAGTTTTGTTCAAATAACATTCTTTTGGGATATTACATATGCTATTACTTTGTTTTGATAACAATATCCTTCTCATATGTTAGTATTGAGTGATAGTCACTAAAACTAGAGTGTATTCTTTATTGAGTAATTCCAAGAAAGAATTGACATCGAGGTTAATTCTTATACAACAGAGTAAAGGATTGTGATATTTCTTAAATATTTTTGAAATAAAGATATCCCTGCACATGACCTGATTTAAATCATACACCCAAATATAAGTGGTCAAATTGTAATATTTCTAGATTAAATCTACAGTCAAACCCACAGGCAGCTAACTATTGGTATTTAAAATAGAAAAGGGTAAGATTGTCGTGTGTGTTGTGTGCAATAGAATAGCTTGTGGTGTGAGCTTAGAATTATCAAATAAATACTTGACTAAATTTTGAATAACAATAATAAAATGGATTCTTCAGTTTGAGAATCCAACATGCACTATATTGCTTATTTATAAAAATGTCACCTTACAACAATTAATTATCATTTTACTAGAGAGTTAACTGGTAGGTTTGATGTATAACTGAACCATATCACAACAATGATTAGGTTAGTCGAAAGGTTTATGTATCATGCAACAACCAAATGACCCTAGTAACCCGAAGGTGGACCGTTCAAAAGGTTTACTCTAGTTATTTGATAGGTACCCTAACATATCTTGTCAATAAAAACCCTAACTCCTAGGGGAGAATTAACATACAAAGTCTCCTCCAAGATTTCAACCTCTAAGTCCAAATCTTTCACACACAATGTAGAAATGAATGAATGTTATGCACCTGAATCAAATAACACCCTTGCCCATAAGTGAGAAAGTAAAAATGTACCTTGAATCACTAACTAATCTGTTNATTAGGTTAGTCGAAAGGTTTATGTATCATGCAACAACCAAATGACCCTAGTAACCTGAAGGTGGACCATTCAAAAGGTTTACTCTAGTTATTTGATAGGTAGGTTGATGATTTAATGAAGATGGGGTTCTGGTTTATGCATTGAATCAAAAGCATTGACTATGACGAGATTTAACCTGTTTATAACTAATCTTCCAACTGTTACATAAAACCCAATTGCACTGGAATTACAATCACTGGAATTACAATCGTGCATCCCCGATTAGCCTTGAAACCCATGAAAATTTCGACTGTCTCACTGAAAATTGACTGCCCAACTTGATTTCACGAGACGAATCCAACAGTAAGGTCCATTTCACTACTTGAGTTACGTAAAAATTTAGGTTTTTAACTCGTGCTTAAAACAGCTTAATTATTGTATTACCCATTTAATTGATTTATCAATTTTTTTGGGTTTTACAATCTTCCCCCTTTAAGAAAATTTCATCTTCTAAATTATGAACATATGTAACACATGAAATGAATGCACATGTAATCATTTCGTACGCAACTAACATGAAAATTAAACTTTACCTCCATCCTTGAATAGAAATGGATAGGTAACTTGTATGGTATCCTCGCATTCCCATATAGCCTCCTCGATACCTTGGTGCTGCCACAGTACCTTAACTCGTCTCACAGTCTTGCCCTGCAAAAACTAATCTCAGCTATCCAAAATACGAATTGATTCCTCCTCGAAGGTCCTATCCACATCAACCACTAGTTCACCCCAATCTACCACATACGAAGGATTTGAAGTGTACTTCCAGAGCATGAAGACATGAAACACGTTATTAACACTCGATCGATTTGGCGATAATACCAACCGGTAAGCAATTGCCCCGACCCTCTTAAGTACCTTGAATGACCCAATATACCTTGGCGACATCTTGCCACTCTTTCTAAACTGGACCATTCTCTTCTTAGGTATAACCTTCAAGAAGACATGATATTCAGCCTCAAAATTAAGAGATCTGTGCCCCTGGTTGGAATAGTTTTTCTATCGGCTTTGAGTTGTGAGAGACTCTTTTGAATAATGATCACCTTCTCATAGGTGTACCTAATCATGTCCGGACCCATGAAAGGTCCCTCTCCAACCTCCATCCAGCAAATTGAAGAATGACACTGTCTCCCGTACAAGGCCTCTTAGGGTGTCATCTAAATACTCGCTTAATAACTATTATAGTAGGAATAAGAAATTTTTGCTAAAGGAAAGTGATCTTCCCAACTGCCCTTGAAATAAAGGACATATGCCCGAAGCATATCCTCCGAAATCTATATCGCCCTCTCTGACTAGTGATTAGTGGTTAAAATTAGCATATTACTATGCTCTTTTAAGACTAATTATATTTTGATAGTGTTTAAATGATGACATTTTAGGCCATAAATTATACAAGGGACTAAAGGCAATGAACATCAAACTTTCATGCAACACCAGCGTATTCTAGAGAAAAATTGGAAAAGCTTGGACCAAGCCAAGAACGTTCGCACGCCAACTCACATTTGAACATCCACTTGAATTGATTGAAGACCAAACTACTGAAACATGGTGTGTTGCAGCCAAGAAGGAAGACTCTGAGGTACTTGAGTAACACGTTCAAACGCTAACTCACGTTCGAATATCCACTTGAATTGATTGAAGACCAGACTGATGAGTGCAAAACGCCAAGATGTGCATGAAGTGTGGAAATAGGTTTCCATAGAAGACCACAAGCCACTTGAGTGAGAAGGTCAGGCCCTATCTGATATTCGAATGCCCATAAAGCAAAGACAGAAGAAACGTTCGAAAGTCATACGACATTCAAACGCCCATAAAGGAAAAATAGATACAATGTTTGAACGCTAACTCACGTTCAAACGTTCTCTATAGGCAGGCTGCAGAGTAGTTGACTTTTCACTTGAACTTGGACGGCACACACTATTCCTTCACACTCTCTTGTCTCCCCCCTTCCTCCTTGCCTATAAATACTCCCTTTGGAGGAGCCTTGAGAGAGGAGTTATTGTAAAAGATTAGAACTTGGTTTGTAAGGCTTGGA